CAACTACCATCGCACTGAACTACCATCGCACTGAAGTACCATCACACTGATCTACCATCACACTGAACTACCATCGCACTGAACTTCTAAACTCCCTGTGACTTGGCGTCTGTGGAGTTTTTAACAATTTTATTGGTGGGAAAAGCAATGAGTACACACTGAACTAATATACATATATATACATATATGCATATATATACATATATAAACACAAACATACATATATCTGTTAGATCTATGCATGTACATACAGTATGTACATACACACCTATATATATATATATATATATATATATATATACATACACATATATGTATACACATACATATGTACATATATATACCCTATTTTCTGAACTATAGGTTGGACTATTAGACTATTAATATGCATCTGTGAAAACATATACACAGTACACATATATGGGGATTTAAGAAAATATATTCTAAGCCCTCAATTTACTTTTAAGAATATATGAGAATATATTTTGACATTAAAGTCACTATAAATTCATAGGGTTCTTTTTTAAGTTTTATTTAGTGCACAATGTACATTAAACATTTTAAAATGTATGTGCCTCCTATATCTAAATATATGTCAAATATAATGCTGTTGTTCTATCTACAATAATTAGTGCTGAAATATACACCAGATAAATGTTTAAATGTTATTCATTTGACATTTGAAATATTAATGTCTGCAGGTCATGAAGTCTGAAAACACAATCCTTAGACAGAGGCGGAGTTTTTACAAATATATATTTTTATATTTTCATCATCAAGTGTCTGTGCAGGAAGTTTCCAACACGACTGTTGTGTCGTGTCATGTCGCGGTGACACACACCTTAGTTCTAATTATTCACACGGCACTCGCAGCCTCACAGACACTGATTCATTACCTTCTAATTTCTGCAAGAAAAAAAACAAAAAAACAAAACCTCCATTCAAAGGTCATGTTTGCTTTGACAAAATAAACTTAATTACACAAATAATCTGAGAACCCCGACGAGGGTTAGCCAATCTATACGTCAATGAGGGAGGCAGATAAGATACAGGAGGGTGGGGGGGG